ATCGACGAGAAGATCAAGTCTGAGGTTCCCTGCCTCAGACCCCCTACTATTTATACAATTACAACGGTGCACAGACCAGGTACCTATTTGTCCCTGCTTGGTCAGAGTCTGCTGACTCGTGTCCTGTCTCCTGACCTGTCACATGGTGTCCTCATGACTAACACCTGAGTCATGCCAAGTCCGGACTCCTGCTCATGAGTAAGCGCCCCCTGCTGGCATGTAGGTCACCTGTCCGTGAGTGAAGATGGGCGCTCCCGGACCCCTCAAGGCCCTGGGTTCGATCCTGTCTCCTCCACTTTCCGATACGAGTTGTCCGTGGTCGAGGTGAGCGTCTGTCCTGGTTCACATGACCCCCAGGTCACGTGGCACGAGAAAACTGTGACACATGTCTCGCGTGACTACTGACTTCCGTCTTAGTCACCATACTCTCCCGAGTATGTCTCATCATTGCGGACATTTTGTTAATCATCATTACTTGGGTAAGGTTGTATAGGCGTCGTATCTTCTCGGAGACGTCCAACCCCTTGACATTTGAGAGGGTTCTCATCCAAAATGGTGAGTGACCTTCCTGTCGATAGTCGGACTAGGCTGATACCCATTTTGATAGGCACGCTGTATTTCATGTTAGTATTTCATTGATCATCGCAAATGACACCTGTTTGAATCGTCATCCAGCATACTTCTTGTGATGAACGCCCTCCATCTGTCCTTTTCCCTAGCAGCCGTGAGTTACACTCGACATCTCTCAGACGCGAGCGTACCGACTACAACGTGCACACAGATCTCAGGCAACAACGGATACAGCGACGTCACCGCATTCACCCCCATGTAACCCAACCTCCAAGTCGCGTATCTGGTTAATGTCCATCGGCTGACAGCTATCTCTTCACTATCAGGGTTACTAGTATTCTCGTCTCGAGGTTCCTACTAGATCTGCAAAGGGCCAAGCATGAATCTCAGCATTTCAACGCAGACCGGTCTGCACTCGTTTCTGCCAGCAACGCAGGTTCTGCGTCCGTCGGCTTCGCAAGCAGAGTGGTGGCCTCCATAGGTGAAGCATTGGCCGGTGATATGGACGTTGGAAGCCCTGAGACCGACGCGTCGAACGGCGTGGAGTAAAGCCCATTAAAATCGGAGTGCAACGTCGAATAAAAGTAGCCTAAATGTGCTGTACGAGTCTTATGGAGTATTTCCGAAGATACAATTACGAGGGCATTGTGGAACAACGTGCAAAGCAGGCATATGAGGACGTCAGAATCCCGAGCAGGACGGCACCATGAATGGGATGCTCTAGATACCGCTTGTCGATAGACGGTGCCTAACCTAGCGGCGAATTCAGGAAGGATTTAGAGGGGGGAGGGCGAGGTGACGTACTCGGTCATGGCGAACAGGTAAGGGTGCGCAAAAGCATGCGGCTTCTACACGGTTGTCTTCTCGACGTTTTCATACGAGGGTCCATCAGTAAGGTCGAAAGGCTCCAATCTAGCGTTCTGGTGGGGGCTCCACGGCGGACTCTGACACCACTGCAAGCCGTGACCAGTCGAAGACACGGAACGACGACCATGTGGCCAAAGTCGCGCTTGCATGATGGAGAGGTCAACTTGAAGCCGTATGAGAGCACAAAGTTAAGGATCGTTCCGGTATTCGCGACTGAGGGTCGCCGACGGCGTAATGTGCTTTTTAGATATCGAGTGGGCGCACCTGTCCAGACCATGCAAGCCTGCCACCCGTGACGACGTGGATTTGGCATGCAGAACATCTGAAGGTGTCTCCGATACGTTCGCGAAGACTAGAGCGGAAACGTCGCGGGCATCCTTCTTGCGGGATAGGTGGGCCGAGAAGGGGTACGCAGCCTAGACACCGGGAATGCAGAAAGATTCATGCGTTCGGTCAACTAATGTGTAGCAACATGACCGAGGAGGGAAGAAAGCAATCGGCGCGTCCACAATATTATTATCATTATATGGTGATACCCATCCCAGCCAGCACGCTGGGCGCTCCTGGTAGCTGCTTTTGCTCCCGCTGACTTGCCTATCGATTTGGGTAAATCACCTGTTAATCGCACTCTGCCATGGCTCCTATCTGCCGTTTTGCACACCTTTGCATCCCATCTTTTTCATGGCTACGCACACAAGGCTAGTGACTCAATGGACAGTAATGAGCTAGGCAAACCTAGCCGTGTACCTTGGCACGCGCGCTTACAGCTACCTTCTGTGTCATCCTTGCGCCTGTAGTGCGAAGACATCTGTCAAACCTAGCCTGCATAAGTTCGTATACATTTTCAAAAGCGCTGCGGTACTGACCAATTCATTAGATCTCTTCCCTCGGAGTCCCACCGGTCGCACGTATCATGAAGCCACGAGACTCCCATAAACGCGTGAGGATGAAGCTCGTTTCGAAGATATCATAGAGAGAGAGGATGTGCGAGCTGCGTCAGGATTCGCGTTCACACTTCCCCATCGTGAGTTCTCTTCCGTAGATGGCGTATCTGATTCGGCGGATGCAGATGACGTTGATCACAGCATTCTCATAGCCTCGCCATAATTTTTGATCGGCCTCTATGCTAACGGGTACGGAGCATTCCTCACAATTTAGTCACCAATAGCCCTGATGGGACCGTGCCACGGAATCAGACGCCCTCATTGATATATAATCACAGGCGGTCAATAAGCAGATCGCGTCGCCCTGCTCCCGCCGCAGCAGTCCCTTAGCGAGACTTCGAACCACACCTACAATGTCTACCTACGATCCTACCCTCGTGAAGACGGTGTATGAGTTGTATGTCCTTCGAGCAGCCTTACGTCGTGACCGACGGCTCATCCTACTTGCTCCATCCTTCTAGCTTCGTCGGGAATTACTGTAGCATAACGAGCAACGGTGAGTGTCTTCCTTAACCTCTGACACGAGTCGCGACCTAACTAGTCTCCTGTCACTTTAGTGTTCTACATCTATGACTGTCTCCTCACTCTGGACGACGAGGTGGAGTTCTTCTGGAAGAGACCATTTACCGGCGCGACGGCGCTCTTCCTGTTCAACCGCTACCTGGCCCTCGCGGACGTGCTCACTCTATTCTTCTCATGGTCTGGCCAAAATGCATGGTATAGTGATGCTGCTGCATGGTACAACAATGATCGGGTACGCATGTTCTTTATGTCCGCTTAGTCATGGTCCATACTGATGGGCTATACTATAGAGGTATCGTCGAATCCACCCAATACATAGTCCTCTATATAGTGCTCAACGGTGTTGTTGGAAAGCTGTGCGATTGATGAACGAATAACGCTAGCAATTGTCTACCTTCAATTACTGCCTCCTGCAGGTATGTCTTATACCTCTGGCTAGAGCCGCATCTCATAGCCCTCCTTTGCAGTGTTCTCTTGTTTGCGTGCATTTGCACTGAGCAAGAGCTGGCCTCTGGCAATGCTTGTCCTTGTGCTTGCCTTAGTGCCTTATGGGGTCAACATGGTAGGTTCTCATCTTATCACAGCCTAGCAAAGGATGACAACACCATCTAGGCAGACTACAGCTATAATGTAACAGGTGTTCCAGATAGTATCTTTGGCTGTGCACTCAGTGACACTGAGCCAATGCATATATCTATAATGTAAGCCTATCAAACTGCCTGAGTTGGACCGTCACTAAACCTCAATCAATAGTTGTCGGTGTTTTGAATGTTTTTGTGATGCGGTCATATATATTCATCATCATCCTATATGGCAGTCACAATCCTTTCACGCACATGTCTGATTGTTCAAGATGCTATCTTGCTCATAATTACCTGGGCAAGGCTATATAGAAGACATGTCTTTGGTGGTATATTGAGGCACCTTACATTTGAGAGTGTTCTCCTGCAAGATGGTGAGTCAATGCACAACTGGCCAGGACTTGGACAATTGGATTCTCATGAAGTGTCTCTCCCCTAGGCACCCTCTACTTCATGTACAGATCATGATCTAATCATGCACTGGCATCTTATTGAACTGCTCTCCAGTGTACTACTAGCCCTCAACATCCTTCATATCTCTTTATCCCTAGCATCAGTAAGCTGCTATTGATCTTACTCAGATTGAGGATGTAACACATGGTGGATAGTTCTCAACAGACCCTGGATACAGTGATGTTGCAACATTCACACCTCTGTAAGCTATGTTGTTCTGCTTATAGTGATTGTCAATTTAGATCTACTAATCTCAAATGGATGATGTAGGGTCACCAGCATCCTTATCTCAAGATTCCTCCTTGATCTGCAAAAGGCCAAGCATAGCTCTCACAATTTGCATGGAGATCAGTCCACATTTAACTCTGGCAGCAGATCAGAGGTTGCATCTGTAAGCTTTGCAAGCAGGGTTGTGGGGTCATTGGATGAAACATTGTCTATAAATATATGGAATGAGAGGTCAGAAGCTGAACCATCTGACTCTATGGAGCTCACTTCAGTAGACAGTTGAGTATAAAGCAGCTCCTTGTATATTGTATTGTGCTATAGGCTTCACTGGCACATTTTTTCAACGCAAAGTCAAAATGGCATCACTACACCAGTGCAAGGCGGCTTGCCGTACATTTGGCAGAGTGCCAGCAGAGCAACTACAGAGACTAGAGTTTGTATCTCAGATAGATTGCTGAAACTATCTTGGAGTTGGATTGACCGAGAGAACGACTGTATCTTCGCCTCCGACTGCCAGCTCATCGGACTCGGACCTCAAGCGCTCAGCGCTCTCTGTGCGACCGCGGGTACCGGGCGCTTGGTCGCAGATACTGCTTTGCTCTCGCCATCGGCCGGTGGACTCCGTCAGGCTATCTCTTCATCGTCTTTACCAACAAAACAAAGCGTGCTTGGCCCACACGGCTTTGTTAAACTCTTTAGTTTGCGCTCCGAAAGAAGGATATACCAGCCTGACGCAAGCCCGCTCTGCTCAATGCTCCTGCGGCAGCGTTTCGAGCTTGCAAATCTCGCTCACCCGGTGCCATCGAAAGTTCTACGGGATCATCACCGAGAAGTCTGCATTTGACACAGACTCGCATCGCACAGGCACCGTGTGAGGGAACTCGACAGACTGCGCCAAATCTTTATGTCCGAGTCTTCGTAACGCAACCGAAGATACGACATTTGCAAATGCGGACAAGACGCGCTGTGTAGGCGATGAGTCGCCACAATCACGAGCAAGATGACCTGGACAGCGGGCAGCTGCGCGCCCCTGGCCGACCTATCCGCGTTCGATCAGAGCATGACCACTATTCGCGTGAGTCTATCACCTTCTGCTCTGTGCCCAGGGCTGACAGTTCCCTCTGGGGTGCGGCACGCTTCGCGAGCTGGCAGCGCGCACGGGTTGCTACGTTTTGCCAAAGGACCGTTGGACGTATGCAGATGAGCGTCGCCGTGGTGCCATCTGACGCCGAGGATATTGCAAGCTTACGACACATTTGGAAACGTTCTTTCGTGCTAACGACTTTAGGAGACGATCCGCGAGGCGATATAATAGGGCACATGAGCCCTACGCCACTTCTTAGAAATTCAAATCTTCTACTTTCGCCGGCACTTCGTCCGGATTCCGTAGGCTTGGCCTTCACTAGTCGGCGTCGCCGCGCTGCATCCGTCTGAGCTTTTGCATCTGATACCTCCAGTCTTCCACACCACTGCACTCAACTATCTGCGATGTCTTACGACCCTACCACCGTTGAACTCTTCCACGAATTGTACGTACCTCAGGATTGTTTGCCACCGTAGTCGATATGACCGATCAACCAATGACTAATCCGCCTCCCATGGGTTTTATTGAAGCCTTGTCTCGGATTACTGCCTCGTCGCAGCCAATAGTAAACCCCATATCTCGCTTGAAGTCAACAACTCCCAAAGCTGATCGACTGCATGCAATATAGTTTTCTACATCTACGACTGCCTCATCACCCTCGACATCGAGGTGGAGTATTTTTGGAAGGGGCCGTTCACGGGGGCGAAAGCCCTCTTCCTGGCGAATCGATATGTAGCCTTTGTCAACGTCATCGTCAACTACTTCCAACTGATACAGTTCAAAAGCGATAAGGTACGACCTCTCGAATCTGCGTGCGTTGACGAACCCTACTAACGTGTAACGCTCTAGAGGTACCATTGACCATGGCTGCATCCTACAACCAGTTCACTGATTGTGAACAGCTGCGCGCTGTATCAGAGAGCAGGACTGGCACTCGTCTACCTCCAGTTTCTGCCCCCAGCAGGTACGCGTGTGGTCGCCGCCCTGGACTGGAGCGTTCCTCGTGCTGATCTTTCGGTATAGTCTTCTCCAGCCTGCGTGCATATGCTCTGAGCAAGAATTGGCCCCTGGCGCTCTTCATCCTCATACTCTCCTTGGTCCCTTACGGAGTCAACATGGTACGCTCGTTTCGTGGATCGGCGACGTGATGTAGGTTGACGGTGCTCTGTAGGCCGACTACGGCTACGGACTCACGGGATTCGTTGACCCCGTGTTCGGTTGCCTGAACACTGATGTGGAACCGTTGAACATTTCTATCATGTAAGCTCATCCGATACTCATCTCCGGATACAGACTAATTGTCGCCTTCCAGGTGTAAGTGCCTTGCGTGGACGCGCATAGTGCGAAGCTTATCCTTGAGCCAGTCACCATACTCGCCAGAACGTGCCTGATCACTTCAGACGTCCTGTTGATCATCATTACCTGGATCAGGCTATATCGGCGGCATATCTTTGCTGCAGTATCCAGGTCGTTGACGTTCGAGAGAGTACTCATTCAAAATGGTGAGTCTATGTTCTTAAGTTGTCAGACCACGCTGAGCCCTATCCTGTTCCTTCCGGATAGGCACCCTCTACTTCATGTGCGCAAGTTCATTATAAGCCGTATCCAATCGTTCGCTAAATCGCTGTCTAGCATACTCCTGGTAATGAACGTCCTCCATCTGTCTTTCTCCATGGCATCTGTGAGCTTCGCGTGATGTCTCTAGAGCGCAAGACTACGACTTAATTGACACCCGACAGATTTCCGGCAATGGCGGTTATAGCGCCGTCACGGCATTCACCCCTGTGTGAGCCAAACAACTCCTAGCCCAAGTATCTCAATTCACATTTCCATACGCATGTCCAGCGTCACCAGTACCCTCGTGTCGAGGTTCCTCCTCGATCTCCAAAGGGCGAAACACAAACCTCAACATCTCGACATAGACCAGTCTACGTTCATCTTCACGGAGAGCTCTGGGCTTGCGTCTATGAACTTCGCAAGCCGAGTAATGGGCTCCATAGGCGAGACGTTGGCCGGTGATACGGAGGTCGACGCCTTCGAAATCGACGCGCTGAAAGACATGGAGCTGAGTCAGGTGGGGCAGTCAGCTGAAAGGAAGTAGCGACGATAATCCCCTACGTGCGAGTGACGACGGACCCCTGTAGCCGTAATATATCCATGAATTGTATCAATAACGATGTAGAAAGCTAATACACAACGAATACAGCAAATGCAGGATGATATAACGCAATGTGACGACAATACTTCACGGATCCTTCGCAGACAGCTCGACGGCATGCTTGAACGCACCTAGGAGGGCCGTGAATTGGAGCTTCTCGCTCCCGCCCGTCGACAGTCGGTGCCTAACCCGACCGCGCGTTCAGCATGCACAAAAGTGAACAAGCAAGTGGAGAACACGCACTCCGTCGTAGCGAGGAAATCCAGCAGGTATATGCGCGCATGGGGCTTGAAGTTGATCGTCTCGATGTACTCGTACGCGCCGTTAATCAGGTCTGGCAGCGCCAGCCCGCGATCAATTTTCAAAGCAGAGATCACTGAAAACGACGGTTAGTCTCGAAGGATGAGGCGCGACACCCATGGAACGCAACCAACAATTGTAAGACGTCGTGAAGTCGTCTTGAAGCATTGAATTGACGATCGTCTCGATGTCTGCGGGCTGAGGGTTGCCGGTGCAGTTATATATCTCGGCCTCTCCTGTGAGCTCGTACGCAGCGTGACACGCTTGAAGGACGTTCAGCGCGCGACGCATGTCGCCCTTCGAGAGCTTGAGCAAGGCCTGCTTTCCCTCCGCCGTGATCTTCACCCTACCGCCCCATCAGTATTCGCCGAACTCAGTATGAGCGGCAAGAAAAGGACTGGAACACTCACCCTTCAGCGTCGATCACATTATTCACTCTCTTCTCGACCTCTGGTATCGGAAGCGGGGAGAACCTGAACCGCGTACAACGGCTCTGGATGGCGGGGATGATCTTGTTTACGTAGTTGCAGATGATACAGAACCGGACGTTCTTCGTGTACTGCTCGATCACGCGCCGTAGCGCGGACTGCGCGGCGGTGGTCATCATGTCGGCCTCATCGAGGATGATGAGCTTGTAGCCTTTGGAGAAGAGCGTGCGCGTCTCAGCGAAGTTCTTGATTTGCTCGCGGACGACTTCGATGCCACGGTCGTCGGACGCGTTTAGCTAGCATTCAAAGGACGTCGTGGTCGGGGAGAGGAGGATGTGGGATGAGGGTTTGGGATAATATGTGAGTGTATACATCGCGTACCTCGAGGATCTGCTTCCGGTACTCGGTGCCGTATATTCGCCGCGCGACGGCGAGGATGGTCGATGTCTTTCCTGTGCCAGGCGGACCATAGAACAGCAGGTGCGGTAACCTGTTCTTCTCAATGAACTTCTCGACTACCCGAGACGAACCTCCGTCAGCTGCTTCGGTCGCCCACCCCATGGGGTAGGTACTCACTCGTGCTCGTGATATCGTGGTGGGACACGACGTCGTCCAATGTCACCGGCCGGTACTTCTCCACCCTGAATCTTAGTCAAAAACTGCGGACAGAAAGGAGGTGTTTACTCAGCAGACGCACCATGGTAGGTTCTCGAGGTCGTACGGCTCGTCATGCGCTGCGGCTTTGCCCTTCCCTTTGCCCTTTCCACTAGCCGGCCAGTTGATGGGCTCATTATCCTCCACACGCATATCCTCGTCGCTGTCCATGATCATGAAGTGGAAGACGCGTCGACGGAGTCCAGAGAGAAGTGGCAGTGTGCAGCAGGCAGCCGTCGCGTCGCTCACAATGTGGCACGCGTCGTGGGCGCCAACGCGTGTCGCGCAACGCTTCTCGGTAAGCGGCTTACTCAGGCGGCGCTCAATCGGAGTCAGGACTGAGCCCAAACTCTAATGCACGGACCATCAACAGAGGTCGCCTGCTGACTAATACTGGTCTATATAGCCTGAGGAAGCGCGCGCGCAGGTCTTGCTCTTCAGCTAGGAACTCGCTTCGGTCGACGACTCCACCGCACAGCTCGTGTTGGACAGACAGAGGCGGCCAAAAGTGAGTAGTACTGTCCTTGGTATATTTGGTAGGACCAAGGAGCTGATGGGCGTTGTGCGCGGGAGCAGAAATGCAGATTTTCGTAAAGACCCTCACGGGCAAGACCATCACCCTTGAGGTCGAGTCTTCGGACACCATCGACAATGTCAAGGCCAAGATCCAAGACAAGGAGGGGTATGTGACGGATCGTGTAGTTTGAAGTGTCATTTTGCTGATCTCGGTCGTCTGTAGTATCCCCCCCGACCAGCAGCGCCTGATCTTCGCGGGCAAGCAGCTCGAGGACGGACGGACGCTCAGTGACTACAACATCCAGAAAGAGTCGACCCTCCACCTGGTGCTCCGCCTTCGTGGTGGTGCTAAGAAGCGCAAGAAGAAGACCTACAACGTACGTCCCCTCGTGCAAGTCTGCGCATCCGCTGGTGTTCACTTGACGTTCCTCTACAGACCCCCAAGAAGATCAAGCACAAGCGTAAGAAGGTCAAGATGTCCATCCTGAAGTACTACAAGGTGGAGTCAGACGGCAAAATCAAGCGTCTTCGTCGCGAGTGCCCTTCGGCCGAGTGTGGTGCTGGTATCTTCGTACGTATTCACATGCCATTCGGCACCTTTTCCGTTCTAATCCATTGGTTGTACGTCAGATGGCCTTCCACAAGGACCGTCAGTACTGCGGCAAGTGCGGCTTGACCTACCAGTTCCAGCCTGGTACGAAGCCCCCTGTTGTCTAGGCGTCTGACCATGCTCTTCTGTGCTTCGAAGCTATGTACCACGCTGTATGCATATGACGAGCTTGTATTATCCATCACATCGTGCAATGCTATGAGAGCGCTGTCCCGCATCAACTATCTGTTTGAACGAGGAACGACCGTGCGTTGTCGTGCACACCGCGATCTCTGCAAAGTTTATCTGGAGTGCGTCGGACCGGACGGTTCAGCCAATCGGAGAGCTTGAATCCGAAAATTTGGACGGGCGGATCAGAGGTCGAACACGATTCCTGCGCTGGAGGACCGCCTCGGTCAGACAGCCGGTTAGGTCCCTCAGGCGCAGCGACCATGCATCATCTGCCAGCAACGACGTCGTCTCTTTCTTTCTCATATTCACATATTCAGGGCTGAGCCCGCCCTCCGCTCTCTACCACGGCCTTTGGTTACCATGCACCAGGCGCTGCGTATAGACGAGATCCTCCAGCTCATCTTTGACTTCTGCAGCGACCTTCCGGATACTCGGCCGAGATGGACGTACGCCCAGCTGGCACGATGCTGCAAAACTTGGACGGATCCGGCGTTGGACAGGCTATGGAGGAGGATGGATGGGCTTGGGCCCCTCCTCGCGCTGCTCCCGACGATGGACGACGAGGTGAGCATTCGCTTCGGGTCTTTGTGGGCGCAAGGAATGTGGTTTACTGAGACCATACTCGCAGCCCACTGTAGACGTGACCCCCTCCTTCGAGGCTGCCGCCAAACGCGTCCGGCAAATCTTGCACACTAAGAGCTCCACCCCGTCGTTCAGGTTACCAGACGGGTACGGACCGAACGTGTTTCCCAACCTCGAAGCCGCCACCCTCTCCCATTCAGGGTGCCTGATCCCGCACATCTGGAGGACCTCCGAGCGCATCCAGCGCGTCTCTGTCAGCCTGAGCTTCTCTCGCAAAGAGACCGATGCGCACATCATCGCTTGGAACGACGCCGTGGCGAGGTACCTCGAAAAGCTCCGCGTGTGCGCCCCGCACTTTCACTGCCTGCAAGTCCGGGGGAGCATCTCCGACTCGCTGAACGCGACGGTCGCGTCTCTCAGCCAGCTCCGGAGCCTCACCATCCAGAGCAGCCGTTTCCTCACGAGCAACACCCTCGCCGCCATCGCGACCTTCCCCGCTCTCCGCATGCTTGAGGTGCACGCCGATCACATCCGCGGGGAAGAGTTTGAAGACTGTCTCTCCTCCCTTCACCCAGACGATGCGGACGCGATGTCCTTCCCTGCGCTCGAGGAGCTCACGATACGGACGAGCGGGCTCCTCCTCACCGTGCTCCTCACCCGCCTACCCGTGGGTGTCATGAAGAAGCTGCACCTCGACATGGTTATGGACGCGCACCCCCGCACAGACATGAAGTCCGTCCTGGAGCTTCTCGCGCAGAAGGCGGCAGGGAGCCTGCGTGACCTCCTCCTCGACGACCGCACGGAGCGCGACTCACTAGCTGCCGTTGCTGACCCTAACGCGAACGCGGAGGATGCGACGTCTGACGCACACTCACAGCGCGGGTACACGCTCGACGACCTCGCGCCCCTCGCGCGTGTGCGCCAGCTCCGGAGCTTCGTCCTGAAGGACGCGGACCTCGTCGATGGTGACTTGGAGGTGCTCGCGCGATGGTGGCCTGAACTTGAGCGGTTGGAGCTCGGCGCAAACGAGGACGTCTGCCTGAGCGATCACGAGCACGAGCACGACGAGGGTACCAGCCAACATGGGTGCAAGACGCGGCTGTCGCCCGCGGCGTATGCACTCGTCGCGCGGTCGTTCCGCTTACTAGAGAGCTTGAGCTTGAGCGCGCCCCCGCCACGCGCGTTGGAAGTTACGACGTTCGTCGCCCAGGTGACGAGTCTGGCGGTCGGGGACGCGCGGGCCATGCCAGGGTACACGGCAGATGCGGCTCCTGCGGTCGTGGATGCGCTTTTGGCGATCTTCCCGGCTTTGAAGAGATTGGACAGTCCTGATACGGAAGTTATCGAGCGGTTTGAGACCGCTTTGGCTGATTCGAGGACATAGGTGATTAATCCGGGCACATTTGGGGGACATATAGACTACTAGAACGTTTTCTCATAGACTACAGTATCAGAGTTAGACGACACCTTCCTAAATATCTAGACACGCACGCCCGGTACAGAATAGACTGCAGTTCGATGGCCTCCCTATATTGATAGTGATAGAGTTTGCCTCTTATACTGGTTGGATCTCATAGACCGTAGAGTACATGGCTTGACAAGGATCCACTAGACATTTCGATATACGGACATTCCGGAGTAGAATGCGCGTCTCGCTGTCGCACTATGTGATGCTAGTACAGTGAGTCCCCTAAAGTGTTGTAAGACAGCAAGGTAGGACGACCATGTGATAGACAGACGGAACAACTAGCAGGGGGCTAACGTGACCTCGTTTCCGTTAGCGTTGTCCCATCTACCACTCGACCTGCCTCAAGGCTGCCTCTGCCTATACAACCTCGCAACCACTCGAGCCTGCGCTTCAGAGCTGAGAAGTGTTTCACTGATAGACTTGGGAGACAAGTGTGCGCCGTTGTTCCATACAAGTCAGCGTGGAGTGCATCTGAGCTGGGGTGCGCGAGCGAGGCCGGGAATTCTGGGGGCGACTCGACGACTTGGATATTGACGTAGCATAGATCGCGTTTGTCGGACTCCCGGAGAAGGGGATCAAAGTCCAGCCCAATGACTAGCGTTAATTCCCCTGTGGGCGTCGTGAGCGTCAGGTCCGGGAAGCCCGACGCCCCGTATTCTCCGGTCACGCTTGCGGGCGGACTGTCCTGGGATTCCACAACAGATTCGCCAAGAGACGTGGGTACGATCGATGAGGCGACGTAGAAGAGGCCATGGGAGGATCCTGGATGGTAGCTGAGCTCTATGCTGATGCTCACATTGCACCGGCGTAGAGTGAAATGATAATGGTGTACCAGGAGGCTATCGCGTGTAGTCGAATGTCTGACCTCAGGCTCGAAGCCTTGGGCCCGTAACGCGACTTCGGACCACTTCGTCAGTTGGACAGAGAGTGCTGAGTTATCGGGTGCACTGGATGCCATCTGACGCGCATACTCGGATCTGTCCCAGGAATATGAAGAAGAAAACCAGATGAAGGGCAGATAGACGGTGTCGATGATTAGCTTGCTGTGAGATTGTTGCACCTCTGTGGGCGAGAGTATGAACGTGTCGAACAAAGACGCTTGATCCTTGCCACGGCTGGTGGATAGCAGGACGAAACCCCGTTGAAGGAGTTTTGGTTCATCTGAGCCAACGGTGTCAGAGAAGCAGACTCGAGCTACGAGGTGACCCCCTTTGTCGGGGTGTTCGCAGGAAAGGATGAGCAGGTACCACTGCGCCGTCGTAGCAGAGCGGTGCAACTTGAGGTCGTTGTCATCAAAGAGCACAGAGATTGGTAGCAATGGGAGCTGCGTGCGCATGCCGTAGGGTGTGTTCCTGAATTCAGCGATAGGGATATGAGTGAGTCCGAAGGGAGAAAGGTCGCCGGAGAAAGGGCGGAAGCGCGTGGCATCCACAAAATCCTGGGGCGTGGTAGCCACGAAGGATGCATGATGGTCGGGAGTCCGAAAGAGTACGGCAGTACGACCTTTCGGAGGCGATTCGAGGAAGAGTCGAGCTCCCCATGCAAAGATTGTCTGATCTGGGATCGTCTGCAACAGGGCTGCCTGTAGTCGGAAGAAAGCGCGATCCCCTTCGCCGTACGACATAGGGAGATGGACATCGAAGATACCAAACAACGAATACGCCCTGTCCTCCACTTTCTCTGTCTCCCTCTTGGCTGCCCAAGCCATGCGGACGATGACGGGGATGGCGCTCAATGGTTTCTGCTGCTTCAAGACGGAGAGCTCGATGCCTGTGATCTTCTCGATTGCACCGGACAAGGCGGCTTTCGTACCGAAAAGCTGCCAGTCCCGCGAGAGGAACAATAGCGCTCGGGGCGCTATGAGTTCCTGGAGTGTCCATCCTCGAGAGAACCACCGACTGGTGTGGAAGCGTGATTGAGCATCTGTCTCCTTCCCGTTTGGAACGTCTACTAGGTATGCGTAGCAGACGTTGGACCTGCTGTACCAGAAGAACATGGTGTTTATGGCCTCAGAGAGCTCTATGCTGTCTTGCTTGTCGATACAACAGGAATCGATCCAGATGTAGCGATAACCGTGGGAACGTGCAATTGAACACGCCTCTCTGATCTTCGGAGACAAGTCAGGATGGTCGAATAGAGATTGGAGGCCTTTAGACTGCATCCGTCGCAGATCGTGGTAAGATTGTTCCCCCGCTGGATCCCAGGTGTGCGATAGTATAGCATACGCCTCCTCGGTAGGGTGGATCTTCTTGAACTCCCCTGTGTGAGTATCAAGCACTCGCATCATCTTCCCGGGACTGATCTGTATATTGGTTGGTTTCAGCAAAGATGATAGTCGCGAATACGAATGATAAGCGCACCGTGCTACTTCCCAAGAGGCTCCGCTGTTGCGCTTGGCTGTGTATGAAATCACTGATCATCTGATCCAAATGCGACTGTGACGAATACTGAGGGCGGTGTTGAGAAATATAACATGCAATCTTGGTGCGGAATAGCAGACCTAGTTTGCGTCGTCTATCGTCTTGATGCCACTCAAGGCACGATTGTGTACGCGCGGCCTCGGCCCAGGTGTTCTAACTGGTGACGGCCTAACACCCGAACCCATTGCAGAGGCAGATGTTGAGGGAGGATACGACGATGGGAGAGATGAAGGACAAGGAGGGGGACAGGATAGGGCCACGCAATGCGGGCCAGGAACAGCTGCAGGCGATGCGACTACCCTGCCTTGAGGATAACACGGCGGCGTCTGACATCTGTCGCTGCACATGACGCTCTGAACCTTACAGCACGCCGACAAGACGGGACACCTTGCCGTGTATATTAGGAGCAACCGTTCTTGCGCGGTGAGCTATGGGTGAAGTGTTACGGTTATTAGTCCCAAGTACCAGGGTACTAAGCAGGACAAGCATAGAGCGGACTATCTGCCGTACCGAGTAACGATGCTCGTCCGCTGTCTTGGTCGATCTTGAGGGTCCTACCGTGCTCGGTCACCTCATCTGAGTGCGCCTCCTCCGTTCGCACCTGGGACTTGGTCCAGGGAGGTTCTCGGACATCACTGGTCAGTCCGGAATGCCTTGATACTAATCCTGCCGACCCTCTTCAGTCGGAGTAAGGAAGTACGCACCCTCACTGCATGCCAGATATCCCAGCTCAGGTAGAAGCTCATATAACATGCTCCCTTCAGTATAGTCGATGATTTTGTACATTGACCGCGATAGAGAATGTCAAATAGTGAATCACCAACAATCACGGGTGAGCGTGAAACGAGTACATACCTGGTGGCTGACTTGATCTGTATGGGTCATACGTGCGAGGTCGCAGGGATTTCTCAGACTCATGGATACCAGGTAAGTAGTAGGCTGCAGGCCGAATTCCCCAAATTACTACCGTGCAAGCCTGAGTAGGGGCCGAACCATCATGTGGATTGGCGCCCGTGACAGTAATCGCATGTGCGCTAGTCTGGATTGGCGTTGTCAAGCACTTTCCTCTAGCCACCACCCGACCCCATCGACAATCTCATCCCCGTTCTATCCTCGGGATCTTCCTAACCATTTCTTGGCTGCTCCTGCTTGGTTTACATTCCACCACAAACACAAACGACATACGGATCTATGCCCGCCCTCGAGACCGACGACGTCTTCAGCCCGCGGTACCTCTCCCCCAACCCCGGCGGGTCCTCCCTGCTCAAGTCGCCCTCAAGACAGTCCCTCTCGCTCAATCCCCGCAAGTCCTCAGCTTCCCTCCGCAGCTCCTCCCTCGCCGACTCCCTCGCAGTCGCAGAAGATGACGGTGTAAACGGCCGCCATTCGCTCGCGCACGAGCTCGCCGCGGCGCTGCTCCCCGAGCCGAGCGCAGGCTCAAAGCTGCTCGCGGAGGAGTTCGGGATAGAGTATGACGAGGGCGCAGAGGGCATCGACGGCGTCCCCGCAGGCACGTACGACGACCCTGTCGCCTCCCCGCACCCCCGGTACGAGGATATCGGCGGTGCCACCGCGGACTCGCTCGCTGCGCAGCTCAACGGCGCGTCGCCCCACTCACCCGCGCACGACCTCGACTTCCGGGGGTCCCCGCATCCCACTGTCCCAGGATTGGAGGTGGGGGACGCTCCGCAGGACCTGGACCCCGACTTCAGGAGCCCCGTCGCGTCCCCGACGAAGCCCCGCCGCCAGCCCGAGCAGGACCCGATGGCGATCCTCGCCGCGGACCTCGAGTACACGGAGAAGTTCCTCGCCCAGCTCCGCCGCCTCGACGCCGGCGACCAGCCTCCCTCCGCCACCGGCCCCGCACCCGTCACGCTAGAGAGGATCGCGTCGGACGTGATACGGCGGATCAACGACGCGACGCGGGATCGGGAGGGGCAGGTGCGCGAGCTGCTCGAGTACGAGCGCGAGTTTCGCAAGATCTCGGCTGATCCGGGCGGGAACGACGCGCTTGCGCACCTTCCTGAGCTCGAGGACATCGTCAAGGACGACGTACAGACACCCGGCCCGTCCTCAGCGCGTGCAGCGGGGGCGGGAGCAGGGACAGGAAGGGGAGAGGTGGTCGATATGGACACGGTTGTAGAGGAGGCGAACGACTGGGAGGTCGACCCCGACCAGAGGTCAAGGCTGGGGGATGAGGATGAGGAGGACGAGTATGGCGGGAGGTATTCGCCCCAGGTCACGCCCATCAAGGCCGAGTTCCCTGTTCCCCCGACACTCAGCGGTCCTCCGACGCCCGCAGCCGCCATTCCACTCCTGGCGCACCTTCGAACGTTCACGACGAGCACCGCGACATCCCTCGCGACAATATCGGAGCACACACAGGTGAATGCGGCTGCGACGACAGAAGCGGGCAGGAAGATCCGTGCACTGAAGAACAAACTTGGCGGGTGGCGGACAGAGTGGGACAGCGCGGAACGAAGCCGGATCAGGATAGAGAAATGGGAGGCAGGCATCGTCGACGGCGATACGCCCACATCGGCCGCGGGTGCAACATCGCCGCCGAGGGTGCAGAGGAGGATAGACGGACGAAAGATTGTGCAGGAGCATCTGAAGGCGTTTGAGGAGGCTCTGCGCGAGGCGAACGAGAAGACGCAAGCTATCATCGCAGCGGTCTCATGAGCCTCCTCCCTCTGCCTTTGAGCCTTGCTCCCCTCGCTCTCTTGTGACATGAGTTGTCATGAGCCTGTTTATCGTTATGCTTCCTGCTTACTTGATTTCCCGATCTATGATTAGAGGGATTTTTTTGGATCGGGGTATGAAGGGATATTAGGAGGGAATGGGGTTGAGGTAGTCCGTTCGTCGTCACGATCCCGCAAGCACACCAGCATCTAGTACATCTTTCACTACACATCGTCAAGCTGCTGCTATTCATACCATATATCCACACGTCCCCGTTGTAGTCTTATGCTGAAATCGTTCTACATAGATTATAAACTGCAATCGCTATACATACCCTTGTATGCCATACGCCGCGAGAGCCAACTAGCCTGTGAACTTGAACCTGTATGGAGCACCACAGTTAGCATGAAAATTAGGCGGTGAGATGCATGGCCGCTTGCCAGTTTGTTCTGCGCGAAGGGCGAATGTGAGCACTAGCATAGCACGCAACAAAGACAGGAAGCTTACCGTGCTGTTACAGCCTCCCTTCTCACCGCACGCTTCGGGTCGTCCAAAGCCTTGGCCAACTCCCTGATTACGGTCGCCTTCTGTGGGTGGAGCACGTCGTATCTTACAACGCTCGGTAGCGTCGCGAGATATCGCAGCGCGGCCACGCGAACCTTCTGCATCAGTGGAAGTGAAACGAGGGTGAGCATCTCTTGTACAGTGCGGGACTCCAGGTTCGTAGTGACTGACCACAGAGGGCATCTGCGATACCAAGCTGTTCTTGAGCATCGTAGATACTAGGCTCGCAGCATGCTCAGTGACGATGTTGTTCTCCTTGTCATCTGACGTCGCGGCCGCCTGAAGTGTCTCAATCACGCCTGCCCGGATCTCGTTGTCGGGGAGCTCGAGGCCCCTCAACAGCAGAGGCATAAGCTGCAACGCGCCTTGGTTAACAATCGCCACTGACGAGAACGACCTGCGCGAGACTCACGGAGGGCATCTGGTCCGCGTACGTGGACTTTGGCACGCTCTTGATGAGCGCAGCAAGTGCGACGAGATAAGCGTTCTGCCGTGACGATTCTGAGGATCCCGTCAGATACTTGGACAATCCCACTCGACATTGTTCGACATACGTGACGTCTTTGCGCCTTCGATGATGCGTGGGAGGACCGAATTGGTGTATTTCTGCGCGTACAGAATCTAGATCGCGACTAGGTTGAATGAGGGCTTCATGTAGCCTTGTACCCAGATTCGTTACCTTGATGACCGCATGGTTTCTTTTGGTTAAGACTTTATCGGTCCCTGGAATTCTGCCGATCGCGCGAGCCGCATCCCAGCTGACGCACTCGTCATCGAAGAGCTCCAACAGCCGATCTACGTTCTTCGTCGCGTCTACGTATCCACGGACAAGCAGTGCTTTCGTGATCTAAACCAAACTGCGTCAAGTGTGGTCCTAAACAAAGACCGCATCGGCGCGAGCTTACCCATTTGAATACGACTATGGCATTCTTCCGCGAATCGGATGAGACCGACGAGTCAGCGATATGCGACAACCAAAACACATGCACATTAGACGTAAGGAAATCGTCCAGTTCTGTGCGTCGCGATGAGATATATATGCGGTAGCCAAAAGGAGGTAGACGCACTGTCCGCATGTCTGTTCACCACCGCGGCGATCAAGTGGATAAGGGCCTCTCTTTGCGGAGCATTCTCCGCGTGCACAGGAATCCACTGCAGCAAATTGTCCAGGAACTTGGTCTCGTCCGGCACGGGCAGCGTCACCTCCTTGTAGAGAGGCACGACTGCTGCCGACAAGAGCACCAAAAGGTTTCTCTGAGAGGTCGGAGCTGAAGGCTAGCCGCACGATTCACACGCCCCCAAGTCAACGATAGGACCTTCGTCCAGACGATAAGGTGCGCACCTCAAACGGCCTAAATGTTTTGTCGGCAGGAATCTTCTGCACGCCATCTACGAGATGAGAGACGTCACCTTCAAGGTACGCGGCGAATACGGCTTTGACAAAGGTCTCCTGCCTCCTACGACGCGTGTATCCCGTCAGCATTCGTGCATGGTCAAAAGCCATACAGATCAGACACGTACGAAGCGTTCAGCGACTGTGTGACTAGCGTGATGATCTGCGCCGCAACAGCAAGCAACCTCGGATCCGGCGCGACCATCGGCCTCTCTTCACTCGCCAGCGCCGAGTAGATGAACAAGTTGTATAGCCGCGGTACCAGCCGGTCGACGTACTTGACGACATCCGTATGTCCCTTCTCTATCTTTATGGACAGGACATCCGCAAGTGTCTTCAGAATAGAGTGCGCGTACGCCGCAGAAGGCTCGCGATCCTCCCCTTCCGCTATGGGAGAGGAGGGAACGCAGATCAAGTCGAGCTTGGTGGAGAACCGCACGACAAGCGTTTCGAACAGGTCCGGCTGCGTACAGAGCTTCCTGAGGGCCGCCAGTGTGCGCCAATACTTGACGCGCTCCGCTTCCGCGTCACGGGGAGGCGCGCGATCCGGGAGGGCGGTGAAGAGCATGGGGAGCGTGTTTCCAGAGACGTGCGACGGCGCGAACGAAGAGATGGTGGAGAGGAGGTCAAGCGAGACGTCGCTCAGGTCGCTTTCTTCTTCGTCCTTCTGCAGGACCTCGTCGACGTTATGCACGATGAATCCGAGCTCTTCGTGAGTCAGTAGGCCGGGGGTGAGAACCATACTCTTCAAGGCATCAATCGCGGGGTAGGCGGACGCAGGCATCTTCAGCCCCACGGTCAAGATACCGAGTACTTCGTCCTTATACGGGAGCAGTGGCACGTTTCCGTCGTCGGGAAGGACCTCGGGATCCTGTGACATAGACTGCCGCGCTGCTTCGATCAAATCCGCTAGTAGGCGCAGAGTCGGCGCACGATTGGGCAGCTCATCCGGGTTAAGGAACAGCTTGACGAAGTGCGGCACGGCTCTGGCAAGAGTGTATCGTGAAACAGACGCTATAGACTACCATCAACACCCAAAGGACGGGTTACATAGACGGAGGAAGTGAACGTACGGGTCGTGGACATGAAGGCGCACAGGACCTTGATTGCATGCTTCGCCTGACTCTTCTCGGGCTCGCGCAGGATCTCCATGCATTCGTCGCAAGCGTCCTTGGCCAGACCTACGATTTCGTTCTCGGTTCCCTTGTCTTCAGGACTCGCAGCGTAGATGGTTTGGATCAGAACCTGGAACGTCTTCAAGGCTTTCTCTTCTGTCACCGGATCTGTCGGCTGGAAGATCTGTGCGCACCGGATTAGAACGAGATAGGATCCCAATTATACCATCACATTGTAGATGCTACCTCAAGTTTCAGCGCATTCCACAATTTACGCGCAAACTCTCTTGCGACTCCCGCGCCATAGACGGGAAGGCAGACGTCAAGGGTGTCAAGTGTATCTTTCTGGGATTGAGTACAATTTCAGCATTCCGACGCTCTATTGTTACGGCGGAGGTCATACCTTGGTGGCGGGTGATCCGGCGTTCAACTTCTCTAGGAAGAGAGGGACCGCTAGCTTTCCAAACAACGAGGTAGCATGTAAACATGAACTGCGTATAGTTCAGCATATGCGACTGCAAGCTGAAGAGGCTGATACTGACCGGAGTGCAGATCTCAGGTCTTCGGTAGTGATGCCATAGGGATCATTAGGCGGTGGTCGGAACGTGATCGGGAAGTAGCAGAAGGTGATACCGAAGAAGTCCTGTGGGCGTCGGATTAGCAAGGCGGATAAGAGAGCGGTCCCTGAAGCTTACCTCGATGTACTTCGCCGAGTCGAACTCAATCAATAGCACCTTGTCTATCGCGAAGGCCATCATGAGATTTCGTGGGTCTTTCTCGCCCTCGGCCAGACCGATGTATCCGCGGAGGAACTCGTCTCCCATATTCTTCATAGCTGTCCGCGTGTCATTTGAAGCCGAGAACTCAGCGCATACAAACAACGTACCCTCTCGGTGATGGGCGACCAAGTTGTCTATGATGCTGTACACAACGAAGCGCTGCGAATGCACCAGCACCCGCATCTTGACATGCTGGAAGAGACTAAGAGGTCTTATGGGCGTATGGACGTTATATAACATGTATGCGTCCTTACGCGTTCGCTACTTCTACAGCGTCGCTTGACGCAAACAGCGGTAGCTTGCTGAGGGTGTTCAGTCCCTTCAGGGCAGGAATGATGGTCTCGGTGTCTTCGAGCTTCCCACAATAGAACGTGACCAGTGTTCGGACTTGCCGGGAATGAATCAGAAAGGTTGCATGGCCAAGGAGCGCAAGAAGTGCGCACCCGACTGGCGGTTGAGCTTCTCATGTGGACACCGGCTCAGGACGAGTGAGAGGAATTCGACGCCTAACATTGCCGTATGTGAACGAAAGTGTGAACAAGGGGTAGGGATCCTTACCCTTCGTCCGTAGGTCATCCTCCTCAGACGTCAGAAAGTCACCAAGAGACTTCACTATATGTAGGAGCGTGGCGTTTCCCTGTGCAATCTCTATGAAGCGTCGGTCAAGTGCGCGATGTGGCTGCACGCTGAGCGCACGTACCCGATACTGTGTCCTCGATCTCCTGCTCCTGCTCTGAGGCGATCCATGTGCGCACAAGACGATCTATTCGTTCCATGGTTCGGCGTGGTCTTTAACGCAATGAGGGGAAACCAAGAGGGCCTAAGGGGCGACGAGCGGTGAGAGGGAGTCAAGGAGCAAGACCAGTCGAGAAGACTCGAAATCTAAGCTTGGCGTCTACATATCTACGAGCATCGGCCTCCGGACCGTCCGAGTCCGGCTCGATGACGCAAGGATCTGTTACTCCATTCAAGGCAGTCGCAACGAGACACCCTACAAATCATTTGGAAAGACCGAGGCATAGGCCGAGAACAACAGCCCACAAGCGAAGCGATGAGACGAAACCCGGTTGACATTCCCAAAAGAAAGTGACATTCCGACTGTACATCCAAAACGTAGTGACTTCCTAACCATAGAAACCGCTAACCGCCAACATATTACGCTGAGCCGTAGGTAACGTTGACATCGCCCTTCGTCGCGCCGCCCGTGAAGGTAGCGGTGAAGGGGATGTTCTGGCCGCACACGGCGAACGCGGCCTTGATACCCTCTGTGCACAGGACCATCGCATCAGCACTCGTCCCACCCCACACGCGTTGAAACAGATGGAGAAAAGAAAAGCACTCACGTTCCCAGCGACCCTTGGAGATGTTGATGGTATCGCCCTTCACGACAGGCTTGATGGTGAACTGGACGTTGCCCGACTTGCCGACGGTGGACGTGGGTGAGCCCTCGCACTTCTCGATCGAGCCGGCGATGCCACCGCAGATCTGCAGCAGGGCGACGTTCGAAGTGTGGAAGTCAAGCGCACTGCGAATAGATTATGCGTTTGTGAGCACGGATGTTACACAAATGAGAAGCAGCGCTCAAAAGAATGACTCACGTCTTGCTCGTGCAGACGACGTTGGACACCGTCTCCTGGCGGACCTGGAGGGGCGCAGCGAAGGCGCACACAAAGAGCATAGCAAACACGTAGAAGATGGTCGCGAAGTGCATTGTGATTACACGAGACTGAGGGTCGGTTTTGTTGAAAGCTGGCAAGGAGGGTGGGCGGATGTATTCCAAAGACCGTCGCAGACGGCAAAAGCAGCAGCTCAATCAAGTTAATGAAAATGAATAAGCAAAGAGCAGCGCTGCTTGAGCGAAGCTGAACCGGTCAGAGGAACAGACAGGGAGGGAACGGGCGAGGGATTGTGAGGCCTGCAGACGCGAGCTCTCCGCGTTTATGTATCGACGGACCGGCGGGGGTTCGAGAAGCGCGTAGGTACCTGATCGCTGTTGTTAGGGTGATCTGCCTTGTGGTCGCTTGTGGCCGCCGGCTATTTGTCGTTCGACGACCTGCGGCCCGTGTAAGTAGACCCGGTTCTCACATCGTCCTGGAACGAGTGGAGCTCTGCGGCGATTTCGATGGGCGCGCGAAGACATGCGAAACAGCTGGTATCCTAGAAAACACGCTCATATAACAAGTCAGTGTAAGTAATCCAGATACAATCCATACTTAGTTCTCAGGAACGGGGAGCCACGAGGAGTGAGTGATCTGTTGTGTTCAAGCGGATTGTGCGCCGCATCTTATTCACCTTGATCACCGGGCTGCAACAACCGGCGGCAGCCATCAGTGCGGCTAGCAACTTGTAGCGCAGCGCTACATAGCTTCAAGCTGAAGGACTCACCACGTGGACGGGGGCAGCATGCAGGTCTCGTCGACGAGTACATAGAAGTATGGTTTAAGGTCCGGCCAACACCACACTCTCTGCGTGCCTCGGACGCAGGTAGGATACGCAGCACAAACACTCAAAACAGAAACTTGACATTTTTGTAGGTATCTACCAACGGGTTCTCCCCGCTCCTCAACCTCGTCCGCTTCAAATCCGCATACGTCTCCATGAACTCCTGGTGCGTATACACCTGGCTCTTCCGCTCGCCCACCGGCAGCCCGCTGCTCGACGCGACTCCGTCCACGGGCGGCCGCCGCGTTTTCGGGTGGTACGACGAGAAGAAGCTGTTCCCCTCCGCAAGTGGCGACGCGGTCATGCTCAGCGGCGTCACGCGCGGGAACTGATTCGCGCTCTCCGTGAGCGGCAGCGGCTGCGCGAGGATGTGCTCGTACATGTCGCGCAGGTTCTCAAAGTTTGTCGGGAAGAAGATGTCGAAGTACCCTTGCCGGACGAAGAGCGTCTCGCATGGGACGGTCGTGTTCTGATACCGCGTCTGCACGACTGGGGCGTTCACACCTGGGATCGTGTCCGGGAGCGAGGAGAAGTCGGAGAGGAGGAGACGATGGCGAGGGAAGTTGCGGCGGAGGGTGCGGAGAAGGGTGAGAAGGCGAGTGGGGATATACTCGGGGGCGGAGAGGTTGGGGGCGAAGGGGAGATTAGTGTAGAACGTACGGAACGTGGATGAGAGCTTGAGCAGACGTGAAATTGGCGGTGGATGGTTTAGATAGCGACGCAGAGCGAGGAAAGAACTGATGAGAGGATCCGTAACTTTGGTGTAGTATGAGCTAAAATCGCCTTTCTTGTCGATCGTAACAATGCCTTGGTATGGCTCCAGCGTGCGGAGGTCGTAACGTATTAGGTCGTGGGCGAAGTTATCCTAGACGATGATCTGGCAAAGTTGACTGGAGACAACAAGAGGATTACTCACGATGACTTCCATTGCAAGAAAGTAACACGGGGCAGGTTCTCGAGTATCCCAGCGGAAGATACTCTTGTTGTGAACCGTCACGCAAGGATGCGACTCGCAGAGCTTTTCTCTCTGTAGGGAGGCAAGGCTCTCGCTAATCTCTATGATGTTGTAACGTGTCCGCTCATAGACGTCTGGATAATCTTCTCGGAGGTAGTCGAGAATGTCCCGTGCGAGTGTACCGTTCCCTGCCCCGATCTCATATATGACGAAGTCCTCGTAGGGGAAATACTTCAGGAGATACTCCGACACGAGGCATTGAGCGATGGCCCTTCCGTACCATGGCTTCCGGTCTGAGACATCAGGTCGCCAATTGCAATGCAAGTGACGGAGACTGACCTTCAACAACTCGGTAGGGGTATGCCACAGCTGCGTCCCTGGCCCATCTCCGTCCTCTCCGTACGCTGCATACCGCTTCGTGATTTCCGCCTCGAAGTCCGTCATATTACGCAGAGCTTTCAAGTCTATAGGCTCTGTTGATGTGAAGATGTTGACCTGCTTCGAGAAGTAGCCATAGTTGGGGTTGTAAAGCGAGTCCTCGATGAAGTCGCGCACGAGCATCTTCACGCGTCGCGGCGGATGCCGCTCCCGCTCGAGGTCGTTGGCAGTGACACGCTGGTAGTTCACATGCTCAGAATCAGGGGTATCGGAGAAGGATACCCTGTCGTTGTAGTTAATCGTCTCCTCCGGCCTTTCCGCTTTCTTTTGTAGGGCAGCCGAGGTGGTGAAGGACACCGGGGACACGATTCTGGTCGGAGTTCGAGATCCGCATCTTCGCACTACAGTTCGAGCTGCACGAGCAAGCATGTAGCCCAGAAGTGAGGGCGAGCACACAGTTTTCTCAGAGGGAGGCAGCCGGTGCAGTGAGGTTCCAGAGACAAGGCCAGCCGACCTGGAGCACTTCCGAACGTAGATGAGCGTCAAAGCCGCCATCGGCTTCCGATCCTAGTATCTACAAACAACGACTACGACTCCGAAGGCGGTAGATTTCACTGTGTGGTCCATGTTCTCCTAGCCTGACTGTTATCTCGCACAAACTACTTAAATCCCCTTGCAGTTTCTCCAAGCTTCAATCATCTCCTCTAGATGCCTCTAGCCGCTGTCCCCCGCCATGTTCTCCGCATGCATGTTCGCTTCTCTCCAAGCCCCCCTGCCTACGACGCTTACCTGGCCCCATTACCGACGCTCCCACCGACGCTACTACCGCCACGAGACACTGCCCAATATTAGGAAGACTCTATGCCGATAGCTCGAATATTGGCTGACTGGAGGTGTAAGAGAAAGCGCGACACAAGGACGGCGGACAACCTAGATGTTTGCCACCGTCAAGAATCCATTGCATATGTTTAACAGTCATGTAGCTGGCACTGTCCAAGGCGGTAATATCGAGTCGTAATGTGTCAATACTGAGGCGTGGATCGCAACCGGCACAAGGCCACCGAGCGCATCGTGAAGGTTAGGCATGAGGCATTGAGAATGATCGTCCCTACGTTTCGATCGGTCAGTGTTATAGGAGACAGTTTGAGCCTGATGCGGGAGGTAGCTGGATGTTGGTGGTAAGCAGGGCTGAGATTGGAGTCGCTGAGAATGTTGCAAGGTTACTGATGCTTCTGGAAGCCCATGAACTACTGCCATCAAACCAACGCTCAACATCTGGTTCTCTGATTCTAGTGCCGGATGAAATAGGATGTAATACGGCTGTAGTTTATACCTCGTGGGGCTGTGACGCAGGTGACTGAAGAACATATCCAGCATCAATGCGGCCATGGGAGCATGAGACTTTCCAATAGCCAATCCCAGCGCGCCAGCGACTTTGTTTGAAGGCGGATTGCTACTATACAAGTCACACACATATATACAGAACCTAGGACCGGACATGCCATACGATCCAGCGTACGAGGAAAAGGCGATGGGTTGTACTTCCAAAGTAGCATCGATGGAAACTTAAGCTCCTTGGATTGGTCCTTTGCTGCCCGAAAACGATGATCGTCTCATTCCCCCATGAGTTCGTCATCGACGTCGTCTCCCTGCCAAGGATACTCATCGGGAGCGATAGAGGCCCCTAATGATCCAACAACTCGCTCAAATATCACAGAGCCGGTGTCCGACGTAGTCAATGCTTGCGAAGAGGCCATACCGACAGCTCGAAGGCTGGCCTCCTGCAGGTGTAGGAGAAAGCGTGAAATCAGGAGGGCGGTCACCCTAAATGTTCGGAGTTGCGATGTTCAAGATACGGGAGGGTCAGCTATATCTGAGCTTGAGTATAACATTGACTTAAGCCACATACGGCGTTGTGAATTGACCGAAGTCGCTGGTTCTCTGTAGATAAGCTACATCGAGCTGTCCTGAGTTGAGCATCTTAGCAACAATGAAATTGCAAGGGTGCTCACCGAGAGCATGGTGAATGTCAGGTGGAGAGAGTTGAGGATAGCAAGGAAGCTTGATGATCCCTATGAGCTTTGGCCCACCGTTCAACAGCGCGTGGCTCACATGAAATAAATAGTGCCTAAGGCACCTGAGTAAGCATATACAATGTTACATTCCCATGGAAATTGGCACTTACCATCAACCAGAAGCACGCTAGATATTGTGCCCTTGGGTACGACCCCTTGGCCGATGTTGTTGCGCCGTGACAGCGCAAACCACGTCGAACCAATGACAAGGAAATCCGCTGCGATTAGGCACGACCGAGATGCGATGGTGACTGCCATCATCATACGTAAACAAAGGTCGGAGGCAGGTATGAAAGACAACCATACATCTACAGAAGGCGAGGGAGATTAAATCAGGGTAGCGTACGCTAAGCACCTCAGTGAGGACTGACTTTTGCACCACGTTTGGAGGTAAGTTGTTCATGGGTATGCATCCAAATGGGGGATCGTACCCGCCTGTTTCTCCAAACGCGAAATCTGTCTGTTCATCCGAGATGTCAGTCCATGTGAGTCCAGTGTTAGAAAACGGCTTTACAAAGTTGATTCCAACAGGCACCATGGACAAGAGGAAGGTAATGCAGGACAGCGGCCAGCTTTTCTGAAGAGCATAAACACGTATGCCAGCGAAAGCTAAGGAAATCGGTGTCTATCAACAGCTATTCAACCAGTTGGTACAGTCGGTTCTACCTGCCGCGACAGTGAACAGGAGAAATTCAATAGCAGCAACGCCCCTTGAGTCGATGATGCAGCTATGCGTGTGGCATAGATTAGTCGGGAAATGTTGCCAGAGAGGATTGAGGCTCCTCGCTTACCCCTGTCGGAGGAAATGGCCAAATGAGCGGGGGACACAGAGTAGCTAGAATGGCTGTAAAGCCGTACGTACCTCGACTGACTTGTTCAAGCTGCTCCCAAGGTCCCAAACCATATAAAGCAAAGTCATGTATTTATTGAGCCAGAATAGAACGGCCCCGCCCGTCACCTTTCGCCCCCAAAAGTTCCGAACTTCGTCTCCGGTCGTGATGATTGAATCATACATGAACAGCACTACCCAGCAGATTGGTGAGCCACATGCCTTCAGAAGCACCATAAGATAGTAGGTCGCGACTGGTACCTGCTGCTGCATTAAAGCAGTAGTTACCAATGTATCTACGTGATGAAGCGGGTTCTCAATGATAGCTATTTGATAGGAGTAAGGGAAACAACATACACGCTTGCATATTCGGAGACGAATTGGGCAGTCTCGGAGGGAGACATGATCAATGGAGAGCGGAGGGAACGTCCTACAGTAGATGAGGGGATGTCCTGGGCAGAACGAGATACGGCATTTATATTCCTCACTGTAGTCTCTGAACTTCTCTTCGACAGCCTAACCGTTTTGAGATATGGCTAGTGGAGCCTATGCGCTCAAACCTTGAGGCTTGACACTATGCATGGCGGAGCCAATGCTCGCAACTTCCGCCGTCTTCTTGTCTTATCGGTAGGACTATTAACGCAAAGAATAGAACTAATGATGTCTCAAGCCCTACCAGCCAAAGTCACTGTGATGAGCAACGACGCTAAACTCTCATTAATCACTAACAGACGCACACGTTGGGGCCTACGTGAGAACCTGAGAAGTCAGAAGAGGAGGTTCCACGCCTTCCCAACGCGCGATCGCTCGGACAGCCATGAATAGCATATTGTTGTTGTTCGCAGTACCTAAAAGATGTGCGGGGCTCATACGCTCATGACCTCGACTGATCATCGAGGCCCAAAAACGTTGAACGTTCCACTCTGCGGAATTCCAACTGCTTTATTGAGGCCTGTGGCTGTACAATGTAACGCCCAGGTCGAAGGTGTGGAAGGTTGAGATGCACGGAGGCCATCCCTGCGAGGGAATGGAGTGACTGCAAGTTGCGACACGGTGATTCGTCCAAACTCCGACATATCCATGACGGAGGTTCAGGGATGAGTGTGAGCGTACGCGTGCGCTTGGCTCCCCTAGACATGTTGGGGCCCGATAGCGGAGCGCGAGGCAGTATCACCTTGGTATGGCTATCCATGAACGTGACCAAGTCCGCCGAGATCGTTCCTATAGGCGCTGTGTCAAATTCATTACGAAATCAAGGATAGCGCACCTCAACATGCTCCATGCTGCTCGTGAACCTACAAGCAGCTCGCTCAGACGTAGTCCTCCGAACAGGGGTGACTGTCGCGACGCCAGTGGAAAGGATGGAGATGAAAACAAGTTGGATGCAGGATAATGCGGTGATCGACGAGCGCACTCGAGAAGGGAGGTAACAGAACAATACTTGGTATATCAAAGCATTACAACTATTGTACAGCCACTCGGAGCTGCAACTCAGGACCGCAAAGCCAACACAGTTTTGCCGTAGTAATAAGCGGAGGCAGCAGAGGTCACCGTAAGGACGGCGGGCACTGGGCCCTTGGTCGCACGAGGCAGCGAAGAAAGCAGGAGAAGAGCAGACGCGCCTAGAGCAAGACACATGAGAGAGGTGAGCGGTTGATTGGGATCATGGTGGGACTAGATTGGACGAGACTCACCGAGAGCAGCCTCGAGACCGTTCGCAGTACCCTTGCGAATGCTGTCGGCACTGTAGAGGTAGAGTACACCAACGCTGGCAGAAACTGTCTTCAACACCCCATTTGCTCATGCCAGGGCCTGCTTTTCCACTCACCCAACACCTGCGACCAACGAGGGGATACTCTTGGTGCGTACAAAGCCGGTGATTCCACCGACAACGCACAGGGTTCCCATCACGTAAGCCGGATACGCAGACTGGACTTTCTTGAGTCTCAATTCTAGCTACATTGATCTTCCGCGCGCACCATTGTAGTTGTTTCGATCTGGGGCAGGTAGGAGGAGATGGGAGAGAGTAGCAGGGCGGGGGGATGGGAACAGTGCTTGCCGGCGTGCGCACGCAACGGTGTCACCTATTTACCCCGCACAACAATAAGCGCACATGGATGATCGGAGATCCCGCGGGAACGCGTTCCCCGGCCCGTGATTTCTTCCTCGCCACATACACTCTGATAATATGGCGGACGTCCTCCCAAGGAAGAACGAGGAGTATGGGACAAAGGAATACTGGTGAGTATCAGGCAAATTGCCCCAGTAGAGGACCCATGTCAACTAGCTTACCAGGGATCAGCGTTATACACAGTGAGCAGTATTTTCACATTCGTTGTTTACAGCGCCAGGATGGCCGAGATTTCTCGGACAGGGAGTCAGAAGAAACCTCCTTCGACTGGTTCAAGACATACGATGGTATTGCAGACATCATGCGGCAGCTTATCCCCAACAAGTCGTCAAGGATCTTGATGCTCGGTTGTGGAAATTCGACCCTCTCGCAGGACGTACGTCCGCTGTTACGAAGCACACAAGCTGGCATAAATTGACTGGAGACATGAACAGATGTATAATGATGGCTACAAGAACATAGTGAACATCGACGTAAGAAACTCTTCGTCAATCTTCTGCAGATGACTCATCCGAGGCACACGTAGTACTCTGGCATCCTCATCGAGAAGATGAAGCATAAGCATGAGATTTCGGCACCGGAGATGGAGTGTACGAAACCCTCGGCTGCACATTCCACTCTACGCTCATACAATGCGTGGGAACATAGGGCATGAGATGGACATACGCGACCTGAAATTTGAAGCGAATTCGTTCGATGTTGCCATAGACAAGGGCACGTTCTTGGCTCCACTTACTTGGCAGTCTGCCCTGACGGCCAGTGATTCATTAACCCCAGGCACGATGGACGCCATGATGACCGCCAAAGCTGATGTCTGGGTATATGTCGGCCTCATGCAATGTACGTGCTCCTGGCGCTGACTCATGTGCTGCCAGGATCCGCCAGAAGAGGTCGTCCAAAACTGTAACAAGGAGGTAGACGAAGTCCTGCGGTATACTTCCTTTGCTTTACTCATCCCTTACAAGCACATTCACGATCGTTCGCAGTGTCCTCCGCCCAGGCGGGATCTTCGTCTACCTCACCTTTGGCCAGCCGCACTTCCGCCGTCGCTACCTCGAACGTCCCAGTACGACGCTAGAGATCCGCAAATTAGGCGATGCGTTCCATTACTATCTGTACATAGTCCGAACCTAAAAAAAATAAAGCAACGATTTTCCCTGCAGGAAAACGTCGACAGTGTTTGTCTAGTAGTGTCTCTCCGCAAGCGCGCCGGCGTGCGATGACTCCGCAGTAAGCAACCAGACAATGTCGGTCTTGGTGACCATCCCCACCAGCTTCCCTTCTTGCGAAAACAGGATGTGTCGCACGTTCTGTACATCATGCGTTGGTATGGGACCATACCAATGACATGCGCAAGAGAAGCACTCACCATCTTCTGGAACATGCTCACGACGAGCTCCAGGGGGACGTCCTTGCGCAGCTGCAGGACTGCTTCCTCGAGCAAGTTCGACAAGTTGACCATCCCACTGTCCCCCTGGCCCGTCCGACTCGGCGGGAGGAAGGTGCACCTCTGCTCCATAGACGGATCGTCCGCGATGGGACCGACTTGACTCCCCGTCAGCATGACAGCGCCAAAGCAACAGGTCTGGACTCGCCTAAACACGCGCGCAGCTTGTCCCTCATCACCATCCCAAGCAGCTGCTCCCCATGCAGAACCGGGAATCCCCCGAAGCTATGTCTGCTGATGAACTCGTTCAGCTCTTTGACAGAGCATCCATGCCCATCGTCGTGAATGACGAATAGGTTCGACACAGGTTTCATGACATGTGCGGCGGTCTGGCCTTTGTCGCGGAAGTCGCGGGTAGGGAGCCAGGGGTACTGGCGCATGGCGATCCATACGGTGTATATGCCGTCCTTGCCAAACGCGTCTGCGACCCACTTGGAGACCATGACAGAGATCATGAGCGGTAAGACGTGCGAGAGGGCGCCGGTTAGCTTGGAGACAATTGTTAGATAGATATCGTGCGCAGAGTACATCGTAGCGGGCTCACCTCGAACATGATGACAACGAGAGAGACTGAGCGGTCGGCAAATAAGCATGATAGAAAGTAAGTCGAGAGAGAAGGGCTCACTCGTCATCCTAGTGACTCCACCGAGCATAGCAGAGGCCCCGATGACAGCATAGAAGCCTGGCGATATACAGCGTACTGTGGAATCCGGCGGGCACGAAGAGAATATCCATGCCGTCGGATATGCCCGATACAGTCCTTGTCTGACGCACATCGTCAGAACGCTCACGCAAGCAGGAAGTAAGCATACGAACGTAACCAGCCCCACTGCACGCCCCAAGCAGGCACCGATGGCGATCGTCGGGAGGAAGATACCAGCTGGGACCTGGGAAATGCTATGAAAGGCTGCTATACCTTGTCTAGTCGGGGACATACCATCATGCCAAAGGTCCACGCTGTGAACGCGATCTTAACCAACGCTGTCAGGACCAAGAGGAACACGTTGGCCCAAATCGCTGTGGGGCTGAGACGGGCAATATCAGCTTACAGATGACATCTAGCGAGATTCAAGCGTACTTGCACAGGCCATGGTAGTCTGGCTTGGTAGGGTCGCACTCTTGAAAGAGGTTCGCAACGAGCTCCGATGACTGCACTCGGAGGAACACGAGTAGGTAGCTGGTAGCGGCGGTGATGGCGGTGAAGCCGACGACCTCCACAATCGGAAAGTTGTGCAGCTGACTGTGTCTTCGGTACACGGCTGCAGCCGCATTGAGTTTGATCAAGAGCGAACCGAGGAGACCCTATTCATGCCACGCGGGCTGTCAGCAAACATGAAGATGGCAGTGAATCGAAGTCACAAACCCCGATAACTGAGAGGAACATCCAAGGAATCTACGACTCAGGACGGTCAACTGAGAACATCCATTCAGTACAGTTTATCCTCACTAGTTCGAACCCGCGCCAGGTCGTTCCTGACTCCGACACCTGAAACAAGACCAGCTTCGACGTCCCGAAAGGGTCAATGTACTGCAACGACACCGCAGCGATGACAGAGGTCACGAAGCCACGCCACATCACATCGCTATCGTTCGAGAACGCGTCGAGCTCTTCCAAGCCGAACAGCACACCTCCGAGAGGGCTACCGAACGCAACAGATACGCCCGCGGCGGCGGCCGCCGCGAGCAGTTTGCGCTTTCTAGCTGCGCAAATGGTCAGGAGGATTTCGAGACTGAGTGGCGGCAGATCTCTGACCTTCATTTTGCCGATATTGCCGGAATGGACGGGAGAGCAGGAATGCCCAGCAGCAGGCTACGTGGACCAGGGGCCCTTCCTTCCCAAGAGATAACCCGGAAGCAACAGCAAGCGCGAGGCCGACGGCCTTGATGAGGAGCACCCAAGCCCCAAGGAATTGATCAAGCACGTAGCCGCTGAGGATCTATTAAAAGACAGATGAGACAGGTATTGGGCAGTCACATGGGAATGAAAGAACGAACGGCTTTGATTTCGGGAACTGCACATGCCGTTAGTATTCTCGCGAAGGTCATGGGAAGATAACGCATATCACGTACTTCCTGTGTGAAAAGCGCTTCGCACGCACGTCAGTTATGTGCATTGCGTAGTGGGCAGTTGCTCCTCACTATGGTGCATATATTATAACGAGTACAGCAGAGCTTCCTGCAAAGGCCACCTGGCAGCGGTTCATGAAACTCACAATGACAAGAGGTACGTATGAGAGAACTCACCGACAGCGTCATGTAGATAGTAGCTTGCAGCAGGGACTGCCCGAAGATGCTAGTCACATGGAAATATTCGCTCCATGTCTGCCACTCATTACATATCTCACCGGCTACCAATTGCGTGAGATGAAAATGCGTGCCATGATGATCCGCACTCACGGTCAAGCCCACTACAGCATGCGACTTGATTGTAAAAGAACCCGTACGTGCACCGTCCTTCTCGTAGGTCTCCTAGCCTGCGAGATCCTGTCTATATATCCAAAGCTATAGCAGAGATACGCAGCACGCACCATTTCACCAGAACGTCCAGCCATGCACCCAAAACCCCTACTCCTACACCCACCAAGATGATGACCAGCCAAAGCCCTGCCGAGTCTAACACCATCCCCAGCAATCCATGCAGCCCCCGCTGGGATTGGATGGCGCGCTTGCGTTCACGTTCCGAGGCCTCTTCTCGCAGCCAGTCTATGCTAGTACCCTCTTCATACGCGGTTTTGTTTCGTAAGGGATGTGACGACAGCAAGGGGCCCGTTTCATGGTCCACGAATTCGTATGCTTCGGCGTCGCGAATATCACGGTCTCGCACTTCGCCTTTGTACCATGGTAGATCTGTGTCGTCTGCGGCGCTGTTTCTTTCCCTCTAATAGGCATCTTAATGCAGTGTTTAGGGATAATGACACTCACCGCATCTCTTCATATGACGTCGGTCCTGCGAACTTCTTGGACTAATGCACGCGCAGTCGGCGAGTGGTGGAAATGCCCGAGAATGAGTGAGTCCAGTCTGTATGTCGTGAGGAGGAACAATAGTATCGAAGTAACGAAGAAAACAATCTGAAGGTCTGAGAGCGACGAGATGACAGCAGCAGCACAGTACTTAGGGTGATCAACTCCGGGAAAGCCGGAACAGGACGAAGTAGCATGGGCGTCAGAGGCGTTGGTTTCTGGAGCTAATACGCACAAACAACGCTTGCCACATGGGAGTCGAAATTGAGGCTTCCAGGTTGTCTGTGAGTTCCATCCGCGTCGGTCTCACACGGGCATACAAATGGTTTCCGTACGGGGCTGCATTCTCTCTGTCTCTCACCCAGCTGTGATTCGATCACGTATCGGAGTGTCTTCATTGGGCCACCTCATGACGAGGACTACCGTAGGTTCGTCGCTCTGAGTAGGCCGTTCATGGCATGTCGCTTTGAGAATCATGCATAGAAACCCTTAGACTGGTCTCAAATCCTAAGTTTCAGTTCATACACATTTGTTGTGAGTGCGCCTTACTCTCAGTCACGCATGCAGGCTCGTTGATATTGATGTTGTACCGTGTCCAGTTTAGACCTGATTCGTGCTAGTGCGCTTGAGAAATTGAGACCGCGCCCCAGTACTGGTGGGTCTTCAGACAAGAGAGAGAAATTGTTACTTTCCATCTGTCTTCAAAGAAGACAAATTCGAGAAGACCAAGCATCTCAGGCTACTGCAATCGCCGATGCCCGAGACGACCCAATCGTGAGCGTCCAGAATCTTACCTACCTAACGGTTTGTTCAGCAGTGAGGGGGGTCCCACATTGGTGTATTTGCTGACTTCTTGACTCAAGGGATCCTACATAGCACGCATCTGAGTATCGATGCTTGCTGCTACGTAAGAATTCGGGAAGCCAGGCTCCATGATGTGAGTTGATGCAAGGGAATATGTTATCGGCGATAGAAGGCATGCACCACGATCCCCTGATCCCTCGGAATGCGCCGTATAAATGTTCATATCCTTGCTGCAATCCACCCCCAGCAAGCTGACTCTCCCCAGCAAGGCTATCTCCCCCTTACGATGGCTTCTTCACAAACCGTTCAGCTTATCACCGAATATGCAAGCGCGTACGTTGTCTTAATCTCTAGTGGATCTTGAACATGGTTGCTGAGCGTGTCTTTGACGTGCAGAACTAGGGATGAATATTGCTTTACGGCCGCAGCAGGTACGTGGATACTATTCACCAAGCCTGGGTGGGGCGATACATCTGGGGCTCATCCGCATCTACTCCTCAGTGATGTTCACGTATGATGCGATTCTGACCACCGGAGACGACGTACGATGTTTTTGGGGGAGGAGGGTGACGGGTGCAGCCGTATTATTTTGGCTGAACAAGTACTTGACAATTTTGCTCTGTTTCTGGAGCATATCCGGAGACCTCAAAATGTCAGACAAGGTACGTGCATCTATTGAGGTGTTCGGCGACTGAAGTTTGCCTCTGTCGAACAAAAGACTAAACTTCGATGACGACAGACGTGAGAGGTATTCATCGGTGCTCTACTTGTCGAACGCTGACCTCGGCTATCCCTGGTTAGTTGCGCTATCAGTTCCCAGGGTACTTCTGCTATGTTTCATGTGCTATTCCTACCGGCAGCAGGTAAGTGTTGCGACTCTTTGAGAACCCCGCATATGTACCAATGAGCGTTCGCATTATCCGCATCCCCAGCATTTACAGGCATGCGCGTCTACGCGCTCAGTAAAAGCTTGCTCCTGTCTTCCGCAGCCTTCGTCCTATGCACCGTGCCTCTTGGTATCAACTTAGTAGGCCATCTGCCCCACATGCCTCATGTCAGTACTGACATGGTAACAGGCTGTATTTCATTTCGGGTTGACTGGTGAGAACGTACCGCTCCTGGGATGTGACGTCGTGGAAAACGTGCCCCTGAACATTGCGAAAATGCAAGTACCACTTCACATACTTCTCTGAAAGCACTCAACTTAAACAGTACTCACATGTGGTAGATGTACGTAGCTCGAGGCCTCAGAGCAGCTGCTGTTCGACTCATAGGCACGATAGTCACCATCGTTTCCCGTTCATGTCTCATCGCTGGAGACTTCCTCGCCCTATGCGTGACGTTGGTCACCCTATACAGACGCTACGCTGCTATTCGCCATGCGGGTGCCCCCAAAGCTACCCTATCTAACGTACTTCTAGTTGACGGTGAGTGTGGACTTGAACGTCATATATAGTTTCATACCGCTCATAGGGTCGCATGTAGGGACTATATACTTCCTGTGAGCCACATCAAAAGGAAGCGTAAAGTGCCTCATTCGTGGAATGTCTAGCATCCTCGTCGTTCTCAACGTCCTGCACCTGGCTTTCACCCAAATCTCGGTGAGTGCCCACCGTCCGCGACACCGATGCTGGTACCTACTGACGCTGTCCAAGCTTGATTTGCCCTTCTTAGAAGACGCCGGAGACTTGGGCCAATTCGTGACCATGTATGTGCATGTTTCCCTTCAGCCTCTTCGTACTCACATGCGCGTCGCTCACTATTTGGACTTGAACGCTCACCAACTTGCACGTCCAGCATATCGCCGCTCCTTATTTCACGCTTTCTCTTGCACCTACAGTCGGCCAATCTCTGCACCATCGGCAGGGGCTCCTCGCAAGCGTTGATGACGTCTCACGACAGCTCCATCATATTTGAGCGAGTAGTAGGGCCGATCGGGGCATCAATCACCTCAGACGATTACCTCGACTTGGAAGAAGATTCCGATTGCGGAGAGGCAGCCAACGAACGACGAGGGGGTAGAGCCAAAGTAGAGCGTCTGAATTGCAATAGAAGTAGGGATTACGATCGATCCTAGCGCAATTGGAAGAGGATGATGTTGTGCAGGTGTCGGAGCCGAGGAGAGTGTGGGAGATGAGGATACACGCGCATGAAGTAGAAGCATCAAACACTCTTCACACCATGATGGATGGCGGAATGCAATCAATCAAAGTTGCCACCGTTGTACTATTTCTTGCTCAGGTCTTCAACCTACTTATCCACCAAGGGACTGCTAGACTCCCTAAACACTTGATGCCATCTGTCATAGTCGATATCGTCTGTCACCTCTTAGTCCGAGTCGGAGGCAATTCGCGTACTTTAACATATTGCACCTTGTTACATGACATGAGTCACCCAACGGTACCGATTGTTGGGCGTATTCAGCGACGGCCGGTCCCCAGAGAACCCCAAACCTGACGCATCCTGCAAGAGTTGCGGCAAGAACGCCACAGGAAGTTCGTGAGCACGATTGATCCCCGCATCACAATAGAACAATACTCACAATCCACCAATTTGCTCCGCCCCCTTTGCGACTTCCTCTGACCTGAGAGTCCTGTCGATAACCGAGGACACCACCGGTGCAGCCGCCTCGGCGCCTTCTGAAGCAAGCTGCGACGCGGACGTCCAAAGGGAAGCAGAACGTTCCAGCACCCTGCAGGGCTCTGAGGTCAGATAGGCCTCGAGCAATGTCTCGAGATCAAGTGCTCACTTCTTCTTGATCTTCTCCAACGTGTTCTCCGGCAACTGTTCACCTGCCGGCACCTTTCCCCGCAGCTGCCTTAGTGCAGATGCCATCTTTTGCAGCTGTTCAAGCGTAGGTATCGTTGGTAGCTGGTCGAGTGTCGGCATTGTCGGCAGGGATAGTCGATCACAAAATCTTGTCCAAAAGGGTTTGGCCCTAGATTGTTATCGCTATAGCCAGCTGCGGACACTCAGGGATGAGGACTTACACTGGTGTGTTGGGGGCACGCCATCTAAACAGGAATTGATATACTTTCGTGAAAAAAGGTAGGCTAGACGCCTTGACGTCTTCCCTAACCGCGCACCCTCCAGCGAGGGCAGCCTTGAACAGTGTGTACACGCAAAATGCGAACTAGGAAATCATTGGTTTAGCATACTGGTCAGGCAGGCAGTGTGCGATGATGACACGAACCAAGCCAAACTTCACGACTCGTCCCATGCTGAATGCGCCCTCAGGCCGGCCATCCCGCCTGCCAGTGTTACCAGCGTAGCCTCCGAGAGGATTAACATCCTCCCTTTCTTCCCGCGCCCATGGTTGGCCCGTACTCGGTACATCGCTGTCGATATAGCCCCTATGGGGAGAGGGAGGCGGTCCAACCGGGAATGTCTTCGGGGCTGTGTGTGCCACAGCATATCCCGCTGGCCGCAACACATCGTGGTGTACCACGCTAACCTCGCTCTCAAGTGCACCGAGTGGAAGTCTCTGGCGGTTTGGAAGCCTCAGGCGGGAAGTCTGATCAACCCAATCCTGCACAATGACATTCGCAACGCCTCGATGCTGGACCTCGATCCGTCGTCCCATAGGCAGGAGATCTGGCCGCGATCGAAGACGATCGCCATGGTTCGTTAATTCACGGAGCAGCCTCTTGACCACATTGCGCTGGCTGTTGAGTAGGCGGATGCGGACCAGGTGCCCATTGTTCGGATGATCTACCCTCCATGGTGTTCACTCCGATCCACCCAAGGAAGGAATGGCTCACTCACCGTCCCAGAAAAATCTCTCGTGGACCGCCTTCCTCCCCTTACACTCCTCTTTCAAGGCCTCCAGATACTCGACCGTCACAACCCTGGCTGTCTCCACGTCCCCTGGCAGCTCCAAGCCTGAGATCTGCGATCGCTCTGTGATCGCAACGCCCTGCAGTGATTCTTTCCGTTCAGATGCTTTGTGATAGGCTGCATCTAGTCTGGAGAGCTCTTTGCGATGTATGGAGCAGAAGCGGCCTGCCTCGAATGTAGGCAAGGGTTTGGGGCAGAGTGTTGTGTGACGAGCGCCTAGCCGAGCTCGACAGGACTTCTGCTCATGCGAGGCAAACATCCCACCCTTCTAGGCAGAGCTGGAAAGAACGGGTGCTGGTAGCAAGCTGACCTGGTGCGACATAAGAGGGGCGACGAGGGAGATACATCCGTAAGTTGGGGTTCATATAGCAGCGGACACGCGTTCAGTTAAAGTTTGACAGGTTAAGCTCACGGCTGTCTTCGTATCCAAGTTGGTCCCTGCTACAGCTGGTTGCGAAATTTATGCCGGCCGACTCCGAACGACGCTCGCGCACTTTCTGCATCGTAAAATGAAACAAATTCCATAAATCGCCCTGCACTATCAAACACCTAGACCACAAGGTATTCGACCCTTCTGGGTCCATAAGAGCCTGAAACATTATGAACAAGGGTGATCCACGACGTTCGTAGAAGGCTCTTTGCAAGGACCTCACAAGCGCTACTTTGAGCAAGTAGGCTGGAGCGAACAGACAGGCTCTCAAGAACGGAAGAGACAGAATTTGGACAGCAATTCACCTAAAAGACGGTGTTGATGGTCCGTATAGGCTACTACAGACAGCTGCGTGGCAAGGGTGCTTCGAGAAAGCTGGAACTAGATGCTACTCAAACACTGCCTCTGTCGGCATTGCATGGTGTTGATGATGTGTCTGCTGACGAAGTTCGCACTGGAAAGGTATCAAGAGCACCTATAAATACTTTTTTTATAGATATCAGAGCGGCGAAACGACATTGAAGCCCATGAGAGTTACGAAGATATGCCGATGTCTGAACCTCTTCCGGCGCTTGATGCGCTGGCAAGAGCCAGGAGGCAGACTGCCTACTGCTCTGGCTGAGAATGTGTAACATCTTCCTATAAACCCACAAAACCTACTCTAAATGAGCCATATACTTTCATAAGTGACGTTGCAAGGCGGTGCGCAGATGCGGCGGCCTGAGCGAGAAACCTCATCGCCCATAGGGAGCTTCTAGTGATTTCCCTCGAAGGGCACAAGTCGGGAACCAGGAGTCCTACGCTCTCCACTCAAGTTCGTGAGGTCTCGTACTCGCTGCTATAGGGGTTATGGAAAGTTTATAGAACACAGGGGAG